GAATCCAACCAAAGTAGAGCATTAATTCCTTCTGTACTGTTTGCTAATGCTCAAGTGAACTAAAACTATGTTTTGAAACGCAAACTGTTGGTAAACTATGACTTATACATTATGTCCTTAGCAAGTGATTTTAGAAACTAAATGAACTTCACATCCATCCTTTTAAAATATAATCTTAGTTCCAGTGCTTGTTCTGGTCTAAGAGATTTCCAATTTAATCCTGATTGCCATCCAAATTCTCTATTGCTTTAGCTTTGCATTTTAATCTATGTACATCTGAGTCCTTGATAAAACTGTAGAAATATCATGGTCAAATAAAGAGCTGTAAGGTAGACCAACAGAAACCAGCTTCCATGTTGGCTTCCACACCTATGAACATTCTTTGGATGTAGCTGATAAACCCAGCTATGACGCTACATTCCAGACTTCTTTGCTGCCTCTCACCCATAAAGATTACTCAATATTCTAGTTGATAAATGTGTGCTAGAGGGATTGTGGATATATAAAAATTTGATAATTCTGGCTCTATTTTAAATACTTCAGGTTATCTACAGTTTAAAGGAATAGTAGAGAAAAATTTTGGTACAGTGCAAAACTCTTTAGTGAAGTAAAAACTATAACTTAACCCATCTGTTTCATAAGTCTTGATTTTAATATTTTGGATTCACATATTGCGCTACACATACATTATCCATGAGACAGAATATGAAAGTCAAAATTCTATTTTAATAAAGGCTTTTAAAATTACGACTAATAATGTACATAATTTAAATAGCTTTGATAAACGTTTACCATTTTAAGAGAATGTACAATTGAACTTCTCAACTAAAAGTATTTTTTTCCCTCATTTAAGTGGATTATGAAGCAAAGAAAATCTGAAATTAACATGTCATTATTTATAGAATATGAAGTCTTCAGAAAATCTGGCTTCCAAATTTTGAAGGGTGGAATATTCCTATTTATTTAAAGGAAAAAGTAAGAAATGTACAGTAAATTCATTCCAAAGATTGATTCACATTTTAAATATTCATAAGTCCAACTGGTAAAGTAAAAAAGATTTACAGAACAGAGTTTCTGATGTCTGATTGATGATATCTGTTAAACCAAAAAACAGCTGTGAGATAAATAAATAATTAGTTTCATTATGAATGAAACCTTCAAAACATATGGTAGCCTTTGACCAACTACCTGCAGAAAGAGGTATTTCTGCAGAAAGAGAAAAGAAAAACAGAAAGGAGAGTTATAATGTTGAAATGAGCTCTTATAACCAGCATTCTAATTACCCAAGTGCTAATCCCAATAATTAAAATGGAAACTAATGTTTAAAAGTTATGTAAAGGCCTTTGAATCTGCAGTTATTAACCTGCATGAGACTGATTTTTTTTTGAAGAGGCTTAATGAGCTCTCCTTAGGCATTTGCCACAATCATTTTGCTTTGCACCAAAAAAGCAAAAGCAAAAAAAGAAAAAAATCAAATTATGAATTATTTCGATGGCATCTAAAATATCATATAGAATACCCACACACTGTACAACTTGTCTACTTTCATTGAGAATAAATTTATTCATCCCTTGGAACCACAGCAACACTTATAGTTTATTTTATAGACACTGCGATTAGGGTTGGTACAATATTATTTTTTTAATGTGCATATCTTCCATTTTACAGCATAGAAACTGATGTAAAATATGACTTGCTCATGGTCAGCATAAGTGAGCTGGAAGGTTAAAAGCTCCCAGGATGAAAGAACATACTGTCTTCAGAATCTTTAAATTCAGAGATTCACTGAGGACTTAGAATATAAAATGTAAATAGGGCACACAATTTCAGTTAGGGCTCTCTCTGGGTGATAGTCCACATAAACTGTCATTGGGGATTACTGCAGTAAGCCTTTCTTTAATAAGCTGTGTTCTTGTGAAGCCTTGTTGAAAACAAAACCTACGGTCTACTTGCCTTGAAATGTTAGCAATATCAATACATTCCTGATCACATTTTTTTTCTCATGTATTATCAGAATTATAAGGCAGAATGTGTTTAGCAGACATTATAAGAGGAACAGTAAAAAAAAAAACAAACCTGAAATAGAACTATTTCTGCTCTGTTGAAAGGATAATCATTTGATAAGAAAGACCCTAATGAGCTACTTAATTATAAGTTTTAGTACAGGGTAATTTTTATAATTTTAAGACCTTATTATAAAATTTAAGTGGAAATTTAACCACACATATGAACACTCAGACACATGAGGCTCTTCTGAAAGGTGGGTCCTAAGAAAACTAGATTTGTTGACAGAAGTGCAATCTAGAACAGCACTCTATCATCAGTTGCTGGAGTTTGTAAATTGGACTCTTCAAGAAATGAGTAACCGTTCTCTACATGGACTGCATTGCTTTGATCATCAACTTCCCTGGAAACTTACTATGTTATTCAATAATGAAAGTAGCTTCTGGGTCTTCAAAGACACATATGTATGCGAGGTGCTGGTTTTTTGGAATTAACTGCATTCGGAACATTCTGACTACATCCTCTGTGGTACTACAAGCACAGAATCATTTTCACATAGTGCTATTTCTGCAAAATGTATACTCTTTTCATCATCAGAATCTAGTTCCTTAGAGATAGCTGGACCAAGTCAGAAATGATCTCAATTTAATATATTTTCCTACTTGAAGCAACAGATTTGCTAAAACCAAGACATCTGCTTATCTTATTTCAGAGATTTGTGCCAAGAAGCAACTGACTATTGATCGGCATCTCAAATATTATATTTAAATATCTACTTTTACATAAACGTAATAAAATATTTAAATGACATATTCCAATATTGAGTGATGACGACTTTTTATCTGAGGAGACCAGGATGGTAGTAGAATAGTAAACGAGCACTTAGGGTATGAGTCAAGAGCAGATCGCTGCTATATTAAATACATTGAGGTGCATTCACTCACTCAAGTACCATCTGCCAGTTCCTGCAGTTGTCCCTTTGCGGCTATCTCTTCCATTCCCATTGGCAACTATTTAAAATCTTTCTTTTAGAATCCTCCTCACTTCCCTCATTCTCAGCAGGCCACTCTGTCCTCTCAGCGAGGCTACCAGATCAAATCCTTCAACATCCAGCACCACTCTACTGTGATCTATTAACAGAGAGGGTTTTTTTTTTGTTTTGTTTTGTTTTGTTTTCTCATTTTCTCCAAGGATAAGATCTCACTCTCTTATTCAAGGCCAGCCCTTTCAAAACTGCTAGGCATCTCACTCCCTGACTGTAGCTGCCCAGCATAATTCAGTGTCTCTCCCAGGCTCCTACAGTAGACACGCCCCTCCATCACCACCATAAACACACAAAACTGGCACAGCAAGTCCCAGAACTTATGATGCAGATCCCTCCCCCTGCCCCATTTCCCCTTGTCCTCTTTGCATCCTTGGCACCTTCCACGAAGCCTAGCAAGCAAAGATACCCAACCAATATGTGTTGAAGTGAAACTGTTCACTTTTAAGCATGAGTTACTTTCAAAAGCTTGAACCAGAACTAAGCTTGTCCCAGATTGTCTGCAGAACAGCATATGATTTCTGCTCCACTTTATTTTTTCAACCCATAAATGACCCAAAAAGGAAGAATGAAACATTTCCAATAACTAGAGTTGCCAGAAAAATACAGGCTGCCCAGTCGAAACTGAATTTGGGATAAACAACTAATAATATTTTGTAGTGTAAGTATGTACCATATATTATATGAGACATAGGTATTCTAAAAACAATAATTCACTGTTCATCTGAAATTCAAATTTAACTGGGTAGCCTACATTTTTATTTGCTAAATCTGGAAACCCTAACAGTGCTTTGTTAAAAATTCTCAGAGGACTGAGAGAATGCTTCCTTTAAGGCACCTGGAGATTTGTATGTGAGCTCTGCAAACTTCTCAATCACTCAGATTTTATGTCTGTAAATGCAACTGGATTTCTTTTGAACATCTAAATAACATACTTTAAGAAATGCTGCTTAATTTATTATATGACATTTTCACTTATTTTGTCAATTTCATAGAATCTTCCTTCTAATACAATATATCAAAGATTTTACGAAGAATACTGTAATTTTGCTCAAGATCTTTTGGAAAGCTAACATTTATAGAGCTATTATCATGCCTCAGTTAAGTCCTGGCTGCATGTATTAATTTTGGAAATTTTCAATTAAATCAGCAGAATTCGATAAGAGAAATAAGTGAATCTTTCATTTGGGGATTTCTTTTCTTCATTAATCAAGCACAGCAATACATACTATCCTCACTAACAGGCTTGCAGAAGCAGCCTGGCAGGCGGAGGTGGAGCCTGTGATGTAACTGCAGTAGGTCTTTGTTGGAAAAGCCTTCCCTAAATGTAAAACATCTGTAAATTTGAAGCACTTTAGCTTCACTGTGTATGGGCTGGCAAGATTAAAGTGTTGCTTCTTTTAGCATCGTGTACTGGAGGCTTAAAATTTTGGTCCTCAGGGGAATTCCTTATAGGTCCTTATGAAGATTACGTATCTGTCTCACCAAAGCGGGGGAAAAGCAGGCTTTTTCTGCAAAACAGGACTATTTCGAGTACTGATTGCTGTGTGTGCTGGTTTGCTGGTAAATGGTGGTGATGCAATGGAAGTTATAACCCAAAGTGTAGGGAAAGATGCCCTACAGCCTGTTTCAGTCCTCAACGTTCCCTACATTAATGGGTTCTTCTTTCGGTGTTCTTGACAGTGCTGTCTTACAGAGAAGACATTTATTTCTTCTTCCTATGAAAAAGATTAAGATGAGAGAAATACCTCCCAATGTAGAGAGATACAAGAGTGTGGCTTTGCCAAAATACGAACTAAACTGACCTCAGAGAAAACTTCTGGGGGAGAGAATGACTAAGTCTGCTGTAACTACATGTTGTCATAATATGTTAATGAATTAAGACATTTATCCCAATACAAGCACACTACTATCTGCTTTCCACCATATTGGCAGCACCGGTTAAGGACGGTTGTTAAGCTACCGGCACAACACGCATACACTGCAGAGATGCAGAACAATGCCTGGATGCCTGCCCAAATTGGTCTCCCAAATGACAGACTCAATGTATAGTACCAATCTATGGCCCTGGAGGTTAGCAGCGTCTTTTTACAAGTTGGTGGGGAAAGGGATGAAATGTGGAAAGCTCGGGGCACTGGTTGGGGCTTCCACCTGCCTGTGCACAGCAGAAAGGCTGACAAACATATTCATTAAACTTGATCTGAAGCAAGTGAGCCTGTGAGCTCGTTTCTGAAATATTCATAAGGTGTGTTACCTGACTCGCCGCTTAGAGGTTGAGCAGAAACACTGAGTCAGAGCAGCCCATACCCACACTTGGGAGGGAGAGAAAAAAAAAAAAAAAAAGCAAAACCCATGACAGCCCACCTCATCACCACACTCCACTGTTCTGCTTTTAATAGCCCCGTTTCAGCTGTCAGCTGTCAGTCCCCACTCGCCAGTCCAATTCTACCTGCCCAGGAAAGAGATGCTCTAATACTGAAGTGCGGAGTTTCCCAGCAGTTGGAGGGGGCGCAGCGCAACAGCCCCGCAGACCGCTCCTCCCGGCTCGCTGCGCGGAAGGAGGACCCCACAGTCCCGCTGCCCCACCGCCCGGCTGCCTTGCTCCGCCTTAGGGGCCGAAACCCGCAGGGCAACGGGTCCCCAGGGACCCAAACCGGCCCCTTGCCCCAGCCAGGCCGCCCTGGTCCCGCCTTCCATTTTGGCTCTGCCTGGGATCCCTTCCCCGAGCCCTCGGCGTTAGGTCGCTAGGCGACCTGCGCCCGGGCCGAGAGGCAAACAGCCTCTCGGGCCGACCTGCAGCCTCTTTGGTGTTAATCTGGGAGGAGAGGATAGAGGGAAAATCACTGTCCTGGGTGATCCCCGAGCCCCTGCACCTAGGCACAGAGCACTTCCATTCACGTTCCCTCTCTGACCCCGATGCTTTCATTTCTGCTGCGTCCCAGGCACCGCGCGGCTCGCGCGACGCCTTGCGTCCTCGCTGCACCTCTCCCTCCCCAAGGGCATTCGCCCCTCGCCCAGTGGCTCCTCTGGGGTCGCTAATCACCTGGACTCTGGCGGCGGCAGGCTCAGCAGCTCCGGGCGCGCGGCGGCGTGGTCTTCATCTCCGCCTTCCCCAGGCGCTCCGGCTGCGCGCTGCGCGGCGGTGATGGACGCGCTCGGTTCCGGGCGCCGAGGCTGGACAGGGGCGGCCGCGGCTGCCGCACTGGCTGCGGGCGCGGAAGGGACGGGGGCGGGGCAGGAATCTGGGTCGCGAAGAGCGGAGCAAGCCGGGATGCACCCCGGGCGGCGGGCGGCGGGCGGCGGGGAGGCGACCGAGAGCGGCGGGGGAGGGCGTGCAGAGGTTTCCCTGGGAGCAGGGAGCGGGCGGCGACTGAGCATGCCCAGTCCCGGAGCCGGGGGCGCGGGCGCGGTGCGGGGGGAGGGAGCGCGGCCCCCAGCGCCCGAGTCTTGGGGGATAGACTTAAATCTGCGGACCCCGCTGCTGCGAGAGGAGGCTGCTGTGGCGCCCAGGCGGACTCCCCGGAGACGTACACGTCAGGAAGACGGTGGACCTGAGATGACCTGTCAATAGGATTCCCAGACAGTCCCGGGCCAGGTGTGCTCCCCGCCCTCTCCCTGGAGAATTGTCCAGAAGCCGAAGTTTGTTTTAGTTCCGCTCCAACGTCCCCCATCTCACCGAGCACCCAGTGACTCCCAATCCTGATGCCCACCCCTCACCTTCCTTCCCAGGCCTGCAGAACCTCACCCCTCAGCCCCACAGGCAGCCCCCGCCTTTCCCACTCCCGGCCCAGTCGGGTCAGGTTCTCAAAGAGCCAGCTCTTTAATTAGGTGTAATTGAGAGATCGTGTCAATCCTGCCAGGTCCATAGCTGCATGTTTCAGCAAGGGCTTCAGAAACAATACCGTAACCCTGGTACGGGGTTAATTGTAACAGGATGAATTATAGACATCCTGATCTGAGGTTATTTGGGGAACATTGCTTCGTGGGGTCCCAGAACCCACTACACACACACACACACACACACACACACACACACACACACACACACACACGGAGAGAGAGAGAGACAGACAGACAGAGAGAGACAGAGAGAGAGAAGAGAGGGGAGAGAGAGGAGAGAGGGGAGAGAGAGAGAGAAAAAAAGAGAAGAGAGAAGCGAGAAGCAGAAGAGAGAAGAGAGAGAGAGAGACCTGTGCCTTCAGGACTGCATTTCATGTTTGATGAGGAACGTTTTCTCCATAGCTAATCAAAAAAAGTCTCTCTAATGAAGCCGCATGGGTTGGGGAAAGACTATGAGCTTCGAGGTCGGCTTTTATTTTAGGTTCATTTATCACTGAAGCCGGTTACCTGGCCGACCTGCGCCTCCGTTTCTTCACCTGTAAAACGGAGGGTGGTAATACCTACCTCTGTGGGCTGTTGTGATGATTACTTGGCAGGCGGCGCAGAGCAGCCCGGATACCAAAGCATCTACCTGTCAGGTAGTGGGTGTTCCCTGAATAAAAGTCTCTGCTGGTTCCACCTCCACTATTCTGTGTTTAGGAAAAGTTGGGTTCATGATGATCCTTAAATGCTGAACATTTATTTCCTCTTCACATTAAATGACCTTAAAGCCTTGACCTTTCTGATTTTTTAATCATTGTTCAAAGCATTAGTATTTACTTTTCTTTCAACGAGTTTCTTCATACCTCCCTGAATAAACCTCTTGGAAAAAGCTAGACCTTTGAAGGGAAGAGCATCTCAGGAGAGATTCATTAGGGAAGATTTATCCACCTGACAAAAGAATATTACTCTACAGTCTTTTAAAAAGTAATTTAAAAGACTGTGGTCCTTGTTTCACAACTATTGCATGAGGAAATGTATCCATGTATGGAAGGAAATTCACTGTCCCATGCATACTGTTGACAGTTTAAGTATCAGCGTTCCAAAGATAAACTTATTATCCCCCAAACATACTATTTTCCTCATAACACATTGCTTTATTCATGGTGTTCCACCCTTTCTGGAATACCATTCTATTCTACTTCGTGAAGTGATACTCATCTTTAAGCTCAAATGTCACCTTCTTAAGCCTAACCTGAATCTCAAGGCAGAGTGAATGCTCTGCTGTCATAGCACCAGTGCATACTGCTGTCACACTGCTCATCACAGTCCTTTTTTTTTTTTTTTTTTTTTGACAGTTTCATTCTTGTTGCCCAGTCTGGAGTGCAATGGCGCAATCTTGGCTCACTGTATCTCCGCCTCTCAGGTTCAAGTGATTCTCCTGCCTCAGCTCCTGAGTAGCTGGGATTACAGGCATGTGCCACAATGCCTGGCTAATTTTTATAATTAGAGATGGGATTTTGCCATGTTGGCCAGGCTGGTCTTGAACTCCTGATCTCAAGTGATCCACCCACCTTGGGATTCCATGTAGCTGGAATCCATATGATAAATGGAAAATGGTAGAGGGGGTGGCAGAGAGTTTAATCTCTGCAACAAATTATATCCTTTAACCATTAGGAATGGCATTTCTAAAATGTCCAGAATCAACCTGTATCCCCAGATCTCCTGCATTCCAAACGTCTCTCCCAGGGTCTTGCACACCACTCTGAAACCCTCACCTTTCACCATCTTTGGCCTCTATTTATGTCAATAGTTATTCTCTGTCATATATCATCTGTTTGAATCTACCTACTGTCAGAATGACAAGCCTTTCTCTCTGATTCTCTCATTGTCTGAGTGTGAGGCAGCCTTGGTATCACTTAGAACTGACTTCAAAGCATATTTGTACACATGTATTCCATTGGAGATAATCTTGCAACTGTTTAATGTGAGCAGTTCAAGGGGAGGGTCTCATTCATCTTTGTGTTACAGAACTTAGCAGATGGCCAATATGTAATAGATCCCCAATGTAAAGTGTGAAAGGAATGAATGATTGTAAGCAGGTTCTCAACTCTATGTGCCTCCTTAGACTATAGTTCTTTTCTAATTGGTTTTCCTGCTAACCCTAGAATTGCTTCACTATGATTTGGCTCAGTTTTTCTTTTAATAACTTGTCTTCTATGACAATTCCACATATTTCTTCACTTCTGGGTTCTGCATTATTTTTGGATAGTAAAACCTATTTTGCAGATTAACAAGCAGTCAACAGAAAGGGTAGTTGAAGAAACTGAGATCATATGATGTAGCACTTACAGGTAAAGAGTGAAGAATCCAGAGAGGAGAATGCTATGCCTCTACAGCCTGCCCAAAGTTACAGCAGGAGAGCTGAAGAGGTAGGGGCGGAGCTAGGAGATACTTTGTCATGACTTAAACTACACACTGGCCCATTACAAGTGACACAGAATTTGAGTCTTTTCCAGACAGGTGGATATTCTTCCTTGCTCAGAAGATCTCTTACTGAACTTTGTCATTTGGAATTTATTTAAATATAAATGTCCTCACCTAGGAATGTCTTCCTTTTTAGCAAGGTTAGGTTGAGCAATGGACAAGCAAGTAGGAATTTCCCTCCTGGATCATTTTGTGGGTGGGGTGGAAGTCATGGCCCAATTATTTATTTTTAATCTAGCACTGGTCTTAGGCACTGTAACTTGAATTGGTGGGAGGAAAGTATTCTTTGATGTATTTGCTTTATAATAAAACTAGAAAGGAAATCTCTGGACTTAAAAAGCATTAAGTCTTGTCTAATTTTGCCTAATTGTTGTGTAAAGTTTAGAAATTAATGTAAGGCCACTCTGCTTTCCAATGGAATGGATTTTATAAGCTTATAATATTCTGGACGTAAAACTAAAGCAGCAGCTGGACTCAACATGCTCATTTGGTTTAATCTTTATGCTGTTTACCTCACAATAAACATAAACACTAAGGCTTATGTGTGTCTGTAGAACAGAAGTTTATTTTTATTTCAAAACTAAAGAATTCTGCCACTTTGTCACCCAGGCTGGAGTGCAATGGCATAATCTCAGTTCATTGCAACTTCCGCCTCCTGGGTTCAAGCAATTCTTGTGCCTCAGCCTCCTAAGTAACTGGGATAACAGGCATGTGCCACCATACCCGGCTAGTTTTTATATTTGGAAATGGGATTTTGCCATGTTGGCCAGACTGGTCTTGAACTCCTGACCTCAAGTGATCCACCTACCTTGCCCGGATTACAGGTCTGAGCCACTGCGGCCAACCCTCTTTCTAGAATCTGCCAGCTTGTGGTAGAAAGATTTTAAGGCCGGGCGCAGTGGCTCAAACCTGTAATCCCAGCACTTTGGGAGGCCGAGGCGGGTGGATCACGAGGTCAAGAGATTGAGACCATCCTGGTCAACGTGATGAAACCCCGTCTCTACTAAAAATACAAAAAATTAGCTGGGCATGGTGGCACATGCCTGTAATCCCAGCTACTCAGGAGGCTGAGGCAGGAGAATTGCCTGAACCCAGGAGGCGGAGGTTGCGGTGAGCCGAGATCGCGCCATTGCACTCCAGCCTGGGTAACAAGAGCGAAACGCCGTCTCAAAAAAAAAAAAAAAAAGAAAGAAAAGAAAGATTTTAAAAAGTAATCTGATGTGTTCTTTTCCATGACAGTTATGCAGCAGAGAAGAATGTGGTTTAGGTTTTTGTTTAAATTTTGAAAAAAGTTTTAAAATATTTTTACTAGTTTGAATAAAACCCTATACTATATGAGCTGTTAGGAACGAATTCTGTACTTAGAAGCAAAGAAAAGTAATCTTGCCACT